ATTTTCAGATGCCGACGTGGCGCCACGGGAAGTCGGGGGGAGGAAAAGGCGGCGGTTGAGGCGGCGGCGTGGCGGCAGCGGCGTGGGGAGGAAGGTATTGGAAGTTGGTGCGGGCTTTGAGGCCGCGCATGGCACGTGCGGCGATGTCGTAGGCCCAAGCAGCTTGTTCAGCAGTGTCGAAGGTGCCGAGCCAGCGGCGTTCCTTGGACTGTGGATCGCGTATCTCGGCAGCGTAGCGGCCCCACGGTCGGCGGCGAACGCCGCGGTAACGGGCGGCGTCTTTGGGTGGGGGAGGGGATGAGGTGGCGGCGGGGCGTTTGACGAGTGTTCGGTTGGTGTGGTCTTCCATTGGGGTTGGGGGTTTTGTGGTGGGGAGGAATGAATTATTTATAGAGGATAGAGAGAGAGAGAGAGAGAGAGAGAGAGAGAGGAGGAGGAGGGTTTGTTGGCTTTGATTCACGCACTCATGCAAATGGGAGGAGGCAGAGGAATTTATAACGCCTAATTAATTAAATCCTTCAGCATCTTAATTCTCTGATCTCCTGCGTATATGAATTTTAATTTTTATTGGAAACCTACTACTATTTATTTCTCATCATGTCAAACAATATATAACAGCTGTTGGCTTCCCCATCATTATCAGAAAATATCAAGGGTGGGCAGCCTATTACGTGCGGTGGAGTTTTAAAAATGCTTTGTGTAAACTAGTTTATGTATTTTCAAAATGCTGAAAATTATGTTTCACATCACATATAGATGCGGTGATAGCTTTCTGGCCATTGTTTCGCTTTTTCAAAAAAATAAAAATTTTTAATTGCCACCACACCTAGCATATCGGCAAATTATTTTTAATCAGCTTATCAATAGATTATTCAATAAGTTGCAGCTGCCCCAAATAGGCTCTAAGTCGTTCGTCCGGTCATACATCCCGAACGGACACGAAAAATCTAGCCACAACATCGTCATACACTTTATCGGTGAGCAATATGAGGACATCCAAAGGTAATATTTTTTCGATCATATTTGTTGGGGGCGTGCATTATGTTTTCATGAATGCATATTAGTTTTGGAAATCCGCCTTATATTAACGTTTCTCCAATCAATAATCTATCTAGAGAGAGAGAGAGAGCACTAAAAATCACATTTTTATGTGGCTTCGTAGTTGAAGGTTCGGACGTACACTAACAATGTAATATTTTCTTGACTAATTCTTTTTTTATGTACAAGATAAGTTGATTTTAGATTATAGATTATTAATATAAAAGGATTAGTTGTTTGTTGGCTCGATTTTAACTGTTGAGATGTTCACGCGATCTTCTCGTGGTTTTAGTGCCTAAATATTTTGGACAACGATCTAATTTCTTAAAATGGAAAATGTTATTGATGGCCTACTTTTTTCTTTATATTCCGAAGATTTTTAAAAATGATGTCAGTTTTAGTCTAAGTTTTATTTTATGTATGTGGAAAGCTTTACAATGAATGCACTATAATTAATACATGGATAACAAAGCATGCAGATCCTATCTTCACATTAAAATGTTACCTATATTAGTCTGTAGGCCACTTTTTGAAGGCCATGGCGTTGCAATGCCAATCAAATGATAAATCATTACTCCTATTTCTCTCAATATATATAAAATATTATATATATA